GGGTTTAGGGTGTAGGGTCTTGGGTTTAAGGTTTAGGGTTCAGGGTTTAGGGTTTAGAGTCCCCTTACTGGATCAATATTAGGGATCCTTTGTACCTTTTGGGGTATGGGATTTCTTATATTTGTGTAAAACGGATCCTTTTTCTTCCTAGGGTAATGTGGGCTAAGCTTAAGTAGCGAGAATATGGGGTTTAGAGTTTAGGGTATAGGGTTTAGGGTTCTAGTCCCCGTTAAGTAGGTAGAATATGGCTTTGAATATAATATAAAAAGATCCCCATATACGCCATATTCGATCTACTTGAGGGGGAATAAAACCCTGCCCTCAGGGTCTGTGTGCCCAATGATTTGGTACTTGGGTTTGGAATGTTTACTAGGCCTATACACCTTAAACCCCTGTACTACTAATTAAATAATACAGGTTTGGGGGAGTATATGAGCATTAGCTAGGGAGACCCTTGGGGTTGGGGTTGAAGTCTACAAACAAGACATACCTTGAGTGCTAAGGTCTATGAAAATTATCTGCTTTGGGTTGTTTGATTCTTCAGGGTAAGGGAGAGCGAAGTTGGAAAATGGCTACCACCAGTGTTGATACCAAGAATCCTCTGGGTGTACTATGTGGGATCTAAACCCTAAATCCCTAAACCCCAAATCCGCAAACCCTCGGTCCCTAAACCCTTATGAACCAAATCCCGCCCTAATCGGAATTTAGGCGATGGTGCTCAACACCGAGTGGCCCGAGGCAAAGTGGTTTATCGTTTAGGGTTTAGGGAGTTAGGCTTGGGGTTTAGAGTTCAGGGTTTATATCAGAATTGTTCTCTTTCTGTGGGGGTGCACGTAACCTTCAAAACTTTAAAACGAAGTACAGATCAAACGATAAAACACATCTAAGCGCAAAGCCGTTCTATGCTGAGGTTGCTGTGGGTTGGTAGTACTTGTGGGCCCTAGACACCAACCCAGGCAATAGTGAAAGCCGTATGAGGGAGTTTGTCAGTAGAATCCCTCTGCATTCCCCAATAAGGACCCTCATCATTTTCTGATCCCTGGGGTCCCGAAGAGCCCCCTATTCTGCGAAGCACCCGAAACCCTGAAATCCTAAACCCTAACCCGAAACCCTGAAACCCTAAACCTTGAAACCTTAACCCGAAATTCTAAAACCCTAAAAACCGGTAGGGTCTGAGTTCAGGCGCAGGAGCCAGGAAATCCAGCGGATGCTGCAGCAGTAGAGAGGTGCGGGTGGTTCTCAAATAGAAGGATAGAGATTATGTTCACAGTGTCGGGTTTGGGGTTTAGGGTTTCAAGGTTCGAGGGTGAAGGATTTCAGGGTTTATAGGGGCTAGGGATTGTGTTTAGGGCTTCGGTTTTAGGGTTTTGTATAGTTATGGAACCCCCTACTAAAAAAGCTTTGTTTTTTGCAGTAAGGTCTCCCTAGAACTCCCAAATACTTGTTTGCAGTCCAAAATGAGGGGGCTTGTATTCTGAGTCTTTGGGAAGCTTTTACCCGCTAATATATCCCCTGTATAACCCCTAAAGACCGCCTTTAAAGGGACCCTGTATTATGGGTATTTGGGGAAGTCTGGGTTACCCTAAACCCCACAAATCCTAGACCCTAAACCCTAGACTCTACCCAGACCCTCCAATGTCGTTCCTTTTTGGGTAGTATATTATAATCTCTTACCAAAAAACCACAACAGACCCAAAAAGGAACTACATTGGAGCCCGTGGGTAAACCCTAAACGAGAAGCCGCCAGGTTCCTGGCTTTCAACATCGACTGGTTCGCCGAGCCGCTGTATGCAGGCGACTACCCGGAGCTGATGCGGATGAGGGTTGCTTTGCCGCAGTCTAAACCCAAAGGGTCCTGTGTAGTTTAGGGTTTCGGGTTTAGGGTTGGTCTTGTATGTATATATATATATACACAGTATGTACTTTTATGGCCCAAAGGGGTTCCCATATGACTACTTTAAGGCTCAAGTACATACTATATAGCTACATGGACCAGTTGGGCAAAAGATGTTTTACATTTCCCAAACTACGAAAGAACCGTGACAGGAACCCTGCAAAGACTGCTGTCCCTTCTAAAGGGGGACCACGTGCATTTCCATGTTGGTTTGATTGCATATGTTTGCATGGAATTTCAAGTGCTCATTTTCTCGAACATAACACAACATTTGAAGTTTCACCGCCCCATCCTATTTGAAGATTGTTCGGCTCTGTAGACAGTACTTGAGGGTCCAGTTCACCCTAAACCTTCAGCCTGAAATCCTAAAACACCAAAAGCTGTCACATCATAGCCTAGGTTGGGGAAAGGCTGCCAAAGTTCACAGCAGAGGAGAAGGAAGCGTTGAAGGGCTCAAACGATTTCTTTGCCTTGAACTGCTACTCGGCGCGCTACATTTGCGAGGATACGCCCTGGAGGAAGTTTCGCAACTTTCAGGCCTTTCAACCCCTGCAGTTTGATCCCTAACTCCTATTTAGGGTTTAGCGTTTAGAGTTTAGGGTTTGGACTCTGGACTGTAGACCCTAGACCCTATGCCATGGCTCTTAATTACTCCAGCATAACCTTTCTAAAGCCGCGTACCATGCCCTTAGCCCTAGAAACTGCGCTTCGTGATCAGGCAACCCTGAAGATCCTACCCTACATCTCGGATGTGCCAGTTGCCAGGTTTAAGGCGGCCATAGCAAGCGAGCAGGCCAAAGACGGTTTAGGTTTAGGGCATACCTCATGCTTCTTTATGGCCCCTTCAGTCCAAACTAATGGGTATATAGAGCGCATTTTGGGGGTATTGCGGGGGCTTGCGTAGGGTTCAGAGCCTATGGTATGAAAATTCTGCTTTGGCCTTCAGGAGGTTGTCAGTTTAGGGTAGAACCCTAAGGGTCCATGTACCCAATACTTAGGTACTTAGGATTTGGATAATAGTAAGTTTAGTACAGATTTTGGACAAGTATATGATTATTAGGTACTGGGACCCTTAGGGGAAGGCATGATGTGTTGAGTTGATGTGTAGGGTTTTGCATATAGAGTTAGAGGTAGGACCTTAGCTTGAGGGCCAAGGTTAACGATGAAGGGTTCGGGTGCACGAGTACGAGTACAAGGCTCAGCGTTTGTGCTTATAAGACTTTGGAGGAGTATGGCCTCAAACACCACATACTGGCTGGGCTATCGTTATGGGCATTTTGAGGTGTAGTTGGGGCAGGAGACCCTAAACCCTAAACCCAAAACCCTATGTAATCACCATAATCCCTGTAGCTTCCACTTTCTTTTCCATTCCTT